TATGACGTTGTAATTTTTTTTAACCAGGGGATCCGGTATGTGCGAAGTCTGATTAACGAAGAGGGCTCCAAGGGCAAGTGGGATCGGTTTTGGCGATATTTTCGCAAGACGTGGATGGGGCGGTTTGATTCCAGCTTGTGGGACGTCAATAGCATGATGGTTGGTGGGATTGACATCACAAACAGGACCAATAACCCGCTCGAAAAGTACAACCGCGACTTCGGCGAGAAATTTGGGCGTGGAGCTCATCCAAGCTTACTGGCGTTCATGGAGACAGCTGAAGCCGAGGCACTCGGTTACGTGAGCCGCATCCATGACATCAAGCTAGGAATTCAACCAGCGCCTCGCCACGAAGCTGTCGTCACTCAAGTCCCAGACGACTACATGAACTTCATGTTTACCAGTTTGAACAGCTTTTGGACAGTTTGGATAGCTTTTGGACAGTTTGGATAGCTTTTGGACAGTTTGGATAGCTTTTGGACAGTTTGGATAGCTTTTGGACAGTTTGGACAGTCCTGGAAAAATATACAAAACAATCTTTTAGATTATTAAATACGTCATTTATCAATTGGACAATTTGGACATTGTTGGACTCGTTTTGGACAGAATATCTCCTTCCCACGGGTAGCCGCCCTGGTCCCAAATAAATCAGAGATGCAACCTGATACTTGATTTTATTATTGCGAGCTTCCTCCACGCTATAGTGTAAGCTAGTGACGGTAACACCTACCCCGTTACATTCGCCCTTTCACCAGGCTCTAGCCTACATCACTCCCCTACAAACCGCATTTCTTCGAGTGCCAACACTCGATTCTCGATTTAGAAAGCGTCTCTACCAAGATATTTCATCATCCAAGAAGGATTATCTACTAGAACCTTCGCGCCTAACGCTCAACCATGTGTTCGGAATACTATGGAAAAAAACTTCAAAGAAACGACTTCAAGGAGCTACATTTCTGGCAACCCGGCAAGCCTTCATAGTATTTGACATGCGACTACAAGTTCTTGATTCTATACCACATGCTGTCAAACAAACTGGTCCACAGACCTAAACGGGTCTTGCATATACTCATAGGAAGGCACCCGCCGTTCTCGAGTGTCAACATACATATAAGGCTTCTACAGAGCAATTAACTAAAAACCGAAGGCCATTTTCATCATCATCAGTCATTCGCGCTTTCGATAGCTCGGACACAAGCGCGACGGCACGGCTAACGCGTCCACAGTCTCTGGCTCAGCCACCGACACTTCGTAACCCACCACTCGTCACCCTAAGGGGCTGTCATACCTCTGCTCATTACATGAGCATTCGCGAGGATGCCTCGATAATCAAGAACAACCCACCTTTGCCCCAACGTGCTTGCGTACTGATAGAAAGGAAAATCTCTTAGCGGGATCACAGACCCTCAAATTCCTTGTATAAAAGAGCATTTGGGATCTCTTATGAACCGTAGAATCTTATCCCGCCAGGTGTATGTGCGCTCTTGCGTACTAAATTGTCTGTTTAGCCGATTTAGTAAGCTTCCCGAGCAACGCACGACATTAGTGCGATCCAACTTACAACCTGTGAGCAACTTTGAGCAAGAGTCAAGTAAACTCGACTGACATGTCAGCGGAGTACTATACCTAAGCGTGACGGAGAATTTAATCCGATGGACTGAACTTTGACATTTGCGTGTCCTACCAGATACTGATAATGCCTATCTGTGTGACAGCGACCCCCCCCCCCCACTGAGTTTAACTCTATCGGGTTATAGACTTCAAGATAGCTATTGTGTGTCTTCAACACAAGCGTCTACATGGGCACAAATTACCAAAAAGAGTTGCAGTTTGTCATCACTTGACCAAAGCCTACTGGAAGACCATCAGGAGCTTGAATTCACCCAACGCTTGTTGATCGAGCAGTCTTTATACAATATAGACACCACAATCGTCAGTATTGTAGAGAGACGGGAACCGGCGAGCTCATAGGACGTCGTTAGCTCACTAAGATTAGCTAAATGACAGCCACACTTCACACAAAAAAACTATCGCTAGTATTCTCTTTGCGAAGGAGACATCCGCCATTATATTCAAGAATCAACGATTGCAAAACCTTTTCAAAGCTCTCGGTATTATAGTCACTGGGATTGTCCGAGGTACAGAAGACAGTCTACCGACAGAGCTTTGGAGCAGTCCGGTTGAGAATGGGCGGGTACGCCAGCAAGCAAATCGACGCCGTCCGCGAGCCTGGATTCTACGGTGTCGCTGTTTTGAAATGTTGGGGGAAGCTTGTAAAGTCTGAAACCGGCACGGACAAGAAATTGGAGTTGCCTCTCGCACCAGGGAGCTTTAAAAAAGTATCAACTGCGCATCTAGGAGCCAGTCAGAAGACCATTCGGTGAGTGTGTCATTGGCCATCTTTGCTTGGAGCAGTGTGTCGACAGGTTTAATTATTGTGCGGTATTCTCGACTGTGCTTTTGAACGTCGTGATCGTCGACCCCCACTCGTCGAGGCCGCTCATCCAGACCGTACTGCCACCTTCCACGGTATTCGCAAGCGCCAAGCTGACTCTCGAGAAGTTCATCGAGCGCAATTTCTCGAACGAAGGTTTGGTCATGTGAGCCTCGTTGCAGATCCGCGTTGCGACAGCCGACCTGGCGATTCGTACGCCCGCTGCGTCCCCGAAACTGAAGGCGAAGTAGCTGTCTTCAAACTCGATAAGCGTCTATTCAGCTGAGCGTATTGGCCAGGCCGAAGATCAATCATGAGCATTAGAGGGGCTACCACGACGGATTCGATCACCGCCACGAACGTCAAGATTTTGTGACATCGGGTCGTCGCGCACGAATTGTATCGCGGTGCTGCGTACGGAAATGAGTTGACGGCGACACAGGACCCGTCATTCGCTCGAGCGTGTGTACCTCTTACCCCAAGAAGAAGCTCAAGAGTTATCGGGAACGTCGACTACCTAAACTACGCGAAGAACCGGACGTCTCCACTTCAAGCGATGTGTCCTACTTGAAACCGAAGGTGCTGAGTACCATCCGGCAAAGCACGACAGCTTATTCACAACCGCGTTGCGCTGCACGAGAGTTAACGAGGTGCTTGATCATGTGATAGCCATTTGGGCATCTCACGTGGAGAATCGTTCTAGTTGATACTGCGGGCTAAAGACATCTACGACAGCTCCATACTTGTATAAGAGAGCTGGCGTGGGTAGCAACGCTGACGGACGGTCGGTGCCTTTAGCTTACTCTGTTGCTACGGTACTCTGGACTCGTTCCGACTCGGAGCTCTCGGAACTCCCGAGAGCAGAGTCCGTGGGCAATGCGACGAAGCGTTGGCGAGATAGCCTCGCACAACGGCAAACGAGGCTGCGACAGAGGATACCGACCGAGGTCACCTGTACAGTATCCTGATGATGTTGACCTGGATTTGGCGCCAACTTGGCGGCTCACCATCACAACACGCCGTCGGAGGTACATTTCTAGGAATAATACTGCACTGCTCCATGGAAAAGTGCCTCGAACAGCACAGTGTAGGCAGCCGGGCTAATCACCAGGCTGGTGTTCATTAGTGGAGTCCACTGTGGACAGCCTCATCAAGCAGGTTTTGTTGACTCAGCGATTGAGTCTCAGCCTGCTGAGTCAGGTCCGCACATCCCTGCGCGCATTCCCCCTTCGCCCCGCCATCCATCGACAGGGAAGCCGTTGCAGCGATACTCCGGTTGGCGGCAGTGTCTGAAGCTCATACCGCCCTACACTGTGTACGACACGTACCACAGCTACTGTAGGTGACTTAATTACATGACTTGGAACTTTTGGGGGCTTGCCAGAAGTCAACATCTCTCGCGGGCTGGTGCCGTGTTGTAGAAAAGTTCATGTTGCTACGTCGTCGAACTCGTTGTGTCCAATGTCAACAAATGCTCGTTATCGACAAAAGCGTACATGTACCGTAGCAGGTGTTTGGTGGTGAGTCAGGTTCTACATGAATTAATACCGGTACCACAGCGAAGATGGAGAGCAAGATGGGGTCTATAATACTAGATATCTGCGAGCTGTTTAGGGCTGCAAGCTTCGAAGAAACAGAACGATTAATCCTTAATTGGTGAGCAACACCTGCAGGAGCGTAATACCCCAAGCACTCCGCACAGTGTTGCCGCGACGAAAACCACCAGTCTCCGTCTGCCAAGTTTCTGTGAGGAGATGGTGAAAAGCAGACAGGTTCTCGGCAAGATTTCAATCTTGACGAACAAGTGGTGAGGATTCGAAACCAGGAAGCGTTCGATCCCAAGCAGAGCAAAGGGAAGAGCCACAGATTGAGCGATCGCACCCTATCTCGAGGTTTGCCTAGCAATCCTTCACCACACGGGATCCCTGTCTACTTGTGCGAAAGCAAAGCACTTGGCCTGCTCGCTTGAAGCGACTCAAAGCCTCACGTCCATCTTTGAAATCGTCAGCTTGACACGAGGTAACGATGAATGTCAACAAGCTGTAAGTTAAGGCATCAAGATGAGCGGAGCATGTATGGTCGATTCAAGGCGGAACGTACCCAGGAATCCTGGGCCAGGATACGCCGGTAAACATAATCAGCAAGCGACGTCAGCGCTATCGATGTTTATAACATTCTCACCACGCTATAGGCTTCTGCTTTGACATAGAGCTCGACCCTGAGCACTTGGTGGGCAGCTCTAAGTTAGAGCCAAACTAATGCCCCCTGCCCCGAGATCGAAGGCTCTTGTGAGTGCCAAGGCAAGCTGTTTTCCTAGCACGCCAACGCTGGTTGCACACACCAGGTGGCAAGACTCGAGAGTCACGGGATCAAAGCTCAGAGCTCCCCTCTCACTCTCGTTCGTGAGCCTTTCGGTGCAACCCGTGACATAATCTGAGCCACCCGACAGCAGTTGTCAAAGCCTCAGCCGGCCCTCTGCTTTGAAAATCACTTCGAAATTGGCCCCGAAACAACCAAGACGTGTTTTCTACCAAGCCGTATATCAACGACGCCGCATTTCTCTTCCATGGTGGTGCCTGACACGTCGCTAGTGACGTATCCTAGACCGCTATTCCCCCTCCGAGCCCTGCCAGTCACTAAGCCCCTGTCAACCTACGTCGTGGACCCCACGTTCGTCTTCCCTGCGTTTCGTCTCCCCAGCATCGCCATGATGAACCAGGACGAATCCTCCGAAAACTGGAGTGCGCCGTCTAACCAGGACACACGACACAAGGCTGCGCTGTCTTTTATTCTATCATCCGACTCCGAGTCGGAGGCCGACCAGCTTAAGCCGAAGTCCAGGAAGCGCAACTTGATCAGCGAGCCGACCGTCGCTAAGCGTAGACGTAGTGCCACCTCCAATTCGGTGCCTCCAGCGCCCACGTTGGCTGGCTCAGCTTCGAAGCCCGTAGTCAAGAAAGGCAGCAAGTTCTGCTCCGTTGAAGGCTGCACCAGTCGTGCTAAACACGCCAAGCGCTGCTGGAAGCACGGCGGCTGGGTTCGCTGCAACGTGGCCGACTGTACCAACCGCGCCAAGTCCAAGGGCGTGTGCTGGTCGCACGGCGGTGGAACCGTGTGCTCGTTCGAGAACTGCGATACGATTGCAGTATCGAATGGATTCTGCTGGGCTCATGGCGGTGGTAAGCGCTGCCAAGTGCCGGATTGCTCCAAGCCGGCGTATGAGCGCACGCAGAATTACTGCCAGACCCATTATGAAGAGCTCGGAGCCACTGTCGATGGCTAGAGAACTTGGCTGGAACCATGTGCCGTGGTAGCGTTAAATAGTAAATGTACACCCAAACGAAAGCGAACCGAAAAGCTTTTATCACTGTTCGTTCTTACCAAGAGTTTATCGCCAGCCAGTGCTGAGCCATAGCTAGTGTAGTCCAAGGTCTGTAGGCACTTACATTACGGGGTCCATTACGCGGATGAGTCAGCAAAATCTCCATTTATTCTAGCAGCGAGATGTATTACAGACCTCAAGTCCGCGCTAGTTGCTACGATAGTGCCCGTTCCAGCCGATGTCGGCAAAGCAACAGCTCGATTCAATACGAAAAACTTAAAGCTGATACGTCAAAGCTGAATGCAGTCAGAGGTCTGCACCGCAACGCAGAGTGTGTATTGTTTTCCTTTGAATCGGCTGTAGCATTAGCAACCCCCGTTGCAGTCTCGACGTTGTCGTTAAGGTGCTATACTTGTCAGCACTCGAACATAAATGCACAGTGCAGGTACTTGCGCATTAAATGCTGCAGGAGATTGAAGCAGTGCAACTTGCTCTGCAATCGATTAAATGCACCGCCACTGCACTATGATAGGGTTTCTTGGCGACGATCTTGCGGACCACATGCACAGTGCAGAGAACGGTGTTGGTACTAGTAATGGCAATTTGACAGAGCGCAGCATTGCAAAGCAAAGCCGACCTCGTCGTGTAATACACGGTGTATGGCAAGAATCTTGCGATGTGTCCTCGAGAGTCCCCTTTGCGCTGAGCAACCCAACGCCGGCATTCTGACGTTGCGTCATCTCTAGGCTGGTCCATGCAGCATCGCTCCGCCGAGATAGCACGACGAGTGGACTCGCAGCAAACTGCAACAACCACCTTGTGATGACAGCTCTTCTGCGCCGAGGAAAACGAGGACATCTTGCAGAGGAATCGGAAGTCCATTGGCGATTGTGCACGCAGCTCAAGCACAAAGCGTTCAAGGAAAACGGCACCGTCACACATACATGCTGGTCGGCGTAGCGTTGAAGCGCATGGACGAGAATGTACCGGCGGACGTCTACAATAATACTTAAGTACCATATTTTACGTGAAGTTAGCGTAATCACGGCACGAACGCGCCGCTACCTCTACATGAAGCTGCATCAAATCTTTAACGCCGCCACGACTCGAGCAATTTATTTGATTCATCCATCGGTCGTCTCATGTTGCTGCCCCTTTGCTTTCTACCGGCGTGACAACGAAGGTGCCGCGGCTTGCCGTAAGTCGCTTGGTGCAATGTGGCGACCATGTCGACGGCGATATCAGGAGCATGCTCAAACGACGTGAGTCAACGCCTTGCGGATACATAGGCAGCACCAGGCTCAGCTCATCATGGGACTCGCACCGAAAGCTTATTCTGACGATCGCTCACCACACATGGTGGACTAAGTCTCCCCTTTGCACTACCAGCTGAGATGCTGGAACGGTGCATGGACCAATATCGCCTCGTCGACGCTCGCTATGTCGCTTTGCCCCATCAAAGAATTGTCCATTTGAGTCGAGCGATAAGCAAGCACAGCACGCTGAAGTGGATAGCCCCCGTGGAAGGTCCGCCCCTCGCGCGCACAGTCATCACATGTCTGCAGGCAACAATCCGCGTGAGTCAGGCTTTGCGGGCGCCAAGACGCCGAGTTAAACAGCTGGACGATAGAGATGGTCGTTGGCCCACGATCACAGACTCGGCATTCAAGTGAGCCTTGCCCTTCAGTCAAACATGGTTTTTATATTGCCGGAAGAGATACGACTGTGCAGTACAGCGTCAATAACTCGAGTACCGTGTCGTTGACGACAGCAAATCTGCAGACAAAGGATTGCTTCAACGTGGACAACCTTCAAGAGGGCGTTCAGTGCTTGATCTGCTTTCCAGCTGCTGTGTCAAACCCACACATTTGGACGTAAACCCTGGCAAACGACAAGGCTCTGCAAAGTCTCCGCTAGCGGATGGCACGACAGAAAACCGGCAAAGCAAGACGTTCAAGACGACCCTGTTTGCGCAAGGTGCTAGATTGTAAATTTGATACTGCACAGGTAATCGGTAGCTGTATTAAATATCAATCAGTAACGACGTGTCCTGCCTGGATCAGCAAGCTATACATGCAATAGTACAGGTAGTTGTTCGAAGGTTTCACTCAAGTCAAACAGTGAGCAACGTCTATTATCTTACTCGTTCGCATGCAAAAGTGCTCGGCTGCAAGTCGTTCCGAGCTAGGTCGCATCGTCTTAGCTTCAAGATAATGTAGCGTTGGCAAAGCCTCAACTTGCATCGCTTGGTTGTAGATAAGAAGGTGGATCAAAGCAGGCCGCTGAATTTCTACTCTGCAGATTTTTATCGGTCGCTCGGTGAGAGCTACTGCCAGTAGTACTGGCTAGTATTGTCATGGTCTTCTTCATTACAAGGTCCTTCTGGTCTTACCGCCCAGATACGTGAAGGCAAAGCTGTGCTGTTGATTGTCCTTCCCAGAAGGATCTGAGCAAATGTAGCCTCGCCTGACAACCCGTCGACCCTATGTGCCTCCGCCCCGAGAGTCTCAAGCCGAGACGAGAGTCACGCGTGAGTGCCTGCAAGCTGTTTTCCGGGCACGTCGTGGTTTGTCTGCCCTTGTCACCTCTAAGCTTTGGCTTGCGGGCAGCACCTGTCGCCGAGCACATGGCACTCACGTCTCAACTCGAGTTCTTTCCAACGGTATCCCCTTTTTACTCTCCTCAACGGAGCTTTCGGTGCATTGCTCAGCGACATAATTGGTCAATCTCGGCTGTTCACATCCGTCACTTCACTTTCCGATTTGAGTTCTGCGAACGAACGCTCATTGTTGGGCTCACCCAGCCGACCCACGAGAACTGATCGCCTCTCGTTTTATTTTCTGAAGAGAGAGAAGCTTTTGCGCCTGTCCGTCCCCGTCGAGGTATCACAAGATCGAGCAGCCTCTCTCTTGTCGCGATGGATGTGCGCGACAAGCTAACGTTGGCGCACCCGCCTACAACCTGGAGCACCCCGAGCAGCGTCATCACGCCGAGTGCTTTACCAGTCGTCAGACCATTCCACAATTTCGCCGTCGGACCCACTGTGTCTCCAGCCTCGCGCATTGCTACCCACACCGCCATGCAGGTCTCCGAAAGCTCCAACCAGTTCGCTAATGATATCGATGACACTAAGGACAAGGCCGCACTCTCGTTCATTCTTTCGTCATCCGACTCCGAATCGGATACTGAAGACGCCGACACCGAGATGCGCAACTCCCTTACTGGACCCAATGTTGCTAAGCGGAAGCGTACAGTGACGCCTTCAACTTCTGAAGCTGCAGCCCCCGTCCGGAAAGGTAGCAAGTTCTGTACCGTCGAAGGGTGCACCAGTCGCGCTAAACATGCTAAGCGCTGCTGGAAGCACGGTGGGTCTGTAAAGTGTAAGATTCCGGACTGTATTAACCGGGCCAAGAGCAAGGGCGTGTGCTGGTCCCATGGTGGTGGCACGGTCTGTTCGTTTGAGACTTGCGATACGATCGCTGTATCGAATGGTTTCTGCTGGGCTCACGGCGGCGGCAAGCGCTGCCAAGTGTCGGATTGCTCCAAGCCGGCGTATGAGCGCACGCAGAACTATTGCCAGACGCACTTCGAAGAATTGGGTGTCGCTGGAACTACTAGCTAGATGTTTGTCATGAGTTTTACTACAAGAAGAAAAAAATATAAAATGCGTCGACGTTTAAAGATTTTTGAAAGCTTTGCGCATTTGCAATGGACTACACTCCTCTTGTAAGCATCATGGAACGATACTGCTACGTATTATTAAGTCATTGCAGCTCGTTTTAAACTACATTGAGGGGCGAGATCTCGTTCGCCTCGGGTGGATCAAAAGAATTCACACATTTCGATGGGGCAGAATTGTCGCTGGTCTCACCGAAAGGCGGAGCTTCTTTTTTTAATAACGCGAATAAAACAACTGCGTTCACAGGGCACAATGTCATCGCAATGAATTCGTCGATGTTCGATGGTAGGACCAGCAGACTTGAAGTATCAAGTAAATGTCTACTTTTGTCCATCGCTTGTTCTCTTAACTGCTGTTCCTCAAATAAATTAATAAAGAGAGCGACAACTGTTACGATTATGGTCGCGTCGATCACCACACGGGCGAATGGTCTACAGTTACATACCATGGGGGCCCTGTATAATACCATGGGGAAGCCCCGGAATCCTTGCGAGCACGAAAAGTATGCTGTTGATTTTGCATATGAGAGATTCTGGGTACTGATAGCACTCTGATGTTTATTCATATTTACATGTAAATTTAGGTAAAACTCAAACGTGCCTTCCCCCCAAAAATCATTTTTAACTACAATTCAAATGCTAGGTGGCACCGAAATGGGAGACGCCTCGTTTGATGCGTCGCCAAGAGAATCCGTGTGAATCCTAGCCTTCTGTTGTCCGTGAGCAACACGCCAATTTTTCATTATATGGTGACCAGGATCTCCGTGTAGAATATCGAGATGACAATGTTGACGGGCAACGTATGTTGCTGTCGGATCGGCTAAGAAAGGCCGCCCCAAAACATGTAAAGTGCGGTACTGTACATGTATAATACTTCGACTGAGTTTATCCACACGCTGAAACGGCTCTGGTCCATGCAGGAAGAAGTTATACAGCTCAACTTGCTCCTTAGTGAAGGATAATTCCTCTTAAATATGTTTCTCTCAAATATGTTTCTCCTATATTAAGATCAGAGTTTAGGATATCTAGTCAGTGACTTTACCGTACCGGTACTGTAGTTGGTAAAACAGGATTTGTAAGAAATAACCTGTTTTCAATACCAGTACATGTAGGTAATTCGTGTGGCTCACATAATTATTAGTCTTTCTACGGCAATGTGCAGCATTCATAAGATACATGTTTCCTTTGATAATAGAATCAAAAAAGATAGTCCAACTTAGCCCGTTCAGACAAAAACTCCCTCGCATACCTTCACGAATGACGCTGTGAAAGGCCAGAGCCGTGTCAAGCTCGTACCTGCTTCCCAATTGACCAATCACATCGTAATTTATAACGTATAAGATTAATTATGCCATCTACAACCACACCGAGCAACTTACCGCTGGCGGGATATTTTTCTTTCGTAAAACATGTTTCGGCTTGTATGGCGGATTTTTGCTTTTGGCCCCACGAAAAAATCCTCGGAAGTGCAAATTTTATTATAGTGTAGCGGTGTTTGGAGCGTGTTGAGCTTGGCCGAGTTGAGTAAGAATGTTATTAGCTGTAAGTACCGTTTTTGCTGATTACGAAATGTCAAGTACAGAGCTTTTACTCGCTGTGATACTTGCGGATGGGCTCTAGAAAGTGAACTTACTGCGCCCGTCCTGAAACGAACTGGGTGTGGTATCGAGTGCTTTTAACCGCAATATGACTTCACAGTTTTGGCATTAGGTAGTAAAAAAAAAAGCGAGCGAGAGGATCCACAGTCACACTTAGCACAATGTCGAATTGCTCATTCGGTCCGTCGTACAGGTCTGTATACGTAGGTTCGTCTCCAAACTTGGCCTGATCTAAAGAACGCATATCATTAAGTTAGATAATGCCGCTAACATGTTGGACAATCAAAGCTGCAATTGTTGGATAATGTCCAACATAACGTACCATACTCCCATCCAGAGTGCTTCAGCTTCACCAAACGGCAGAGGTTTTTGTCAGCGGCTTGCACAGCGAGTCGGGTAGCGTAGTTCCAAAGGATTCTGCTAACACCTCGTCGGAGGGATCATCAACATTCTAGTCTTCTCTCAACAAAACGTGGGTACTGTCAATGAATTCTACGAGTTTATAGATTTGGCTGAACAAAGTAGCGGCAGCTTAGACGCGATGCATCTTCTCAATCACAACAAAATACTCGGTTGATGCAAAGCTTACATACCCTACTTATCGTTTTCTCCTTTTTTTTCAGACCAGGAAAGCGACAAAGGTCGTGCAGCTAATGGCTTCCAGATACTTTTTACAAATTGGCAATCTACTACTGCGCACAAAATGACTAGCGCAATCGACCTCCGGACTCTCCGTGCAAACACGCAGACAAGTGAGTCGTTAAGACATAATGTACAAGATCTTACGTAAGCTAGTCGAACACTTAATGGTCCATAGTGATGCTGGCGTAGGTCTCAGCCTTTCGTGGTAGTTTCCGCTTTGCGTTGCTGAAATGCTGATGCTTGTTGATTGCAAGTTAAGAAGTGATCTTCCTTCCGACTAATCCCTGCTCCTGCGTTCTACTTGACTGCTCCTACTCCTATCGGGGCCACAGGATTCACCCTGGGTGCAGCCTTGAGAATCGAGTACCAGGGTTGCAGTAAAACTGTAACTTCACGTTGATAGACGACGCTGTAGTTTGGGATGGGGTTCTTAATTCAGGATAGCCTCCTTGCCGTTGAGAAAATACTCCTAGCTGTGCCACACACTACACTGCCCCTGAATAACCCATGCCAGTACCGTCTTGACATGTAGATATGAATGTTGAGTCTCTTTGCTAGTATAGTAAATTTAATCCACAGAGACATCTGTCACCAAATGCCACGACGGATTACAGTCCATAGATGAGACGGAACAGTGTTACACATCAAGTTGCACCTCAACACGTTGAAGTTGCTCCATAACGTGACCTGCACGTCGGATTAGGCTCTGGAATTTTGCTGAAGTGGAGTCGACAAGGCCTGTACAAGCTCGATATCAACATTTTGAGCTGCGTAATTATCCACACGCGTAGGTATATCACAGTAGGGGCACTGGAGAGACTCCCAGGAGTCTTCTTCGTCCTGCAAACCGACCCAGGATACGAGAAGCTGCCATCCATGTTGGGCCTTGCGGTGATCCTTGAGCTCCTCGACGCCAAGGACCATATCTTGGTTGCCGACATGGGCCAGAAGCTCCTCGCTGGTGCCCAGACTTCCGTCACGGTAGAACTTGAGCCGGGATCCGTGCACCATGGAGCGTTGGCTACGCATCAAGCGGCGATCATGTGGGAATGAGAATGCTCCTCGACAACTTCGAAAGGTCCCACCCAACGGGCGAGTAGTTCGTTTACCGAAAGGCGAGAGTCAATCCTAGACCACAGTACGAAGTCAGCGATAGTGAAATTACATGGTACTCCGTTGGAGTGGCTCATGTTCTGCAACCGACGTCGCTCCCGGATGTCCTCCACCTCCTTGTGCATCTCTTGTAGACATCGTTGCATGTTCTCCACCATTTCATCAGGAACAGTCATAGGCTCAGTCACCTTCATCGCCTTGCCGTTGCGCTCAGCTACGTATAGTCTCAAACGGTGTAGGTCTAGGCAACGCGGTGAAAAGCTCACCAGGGGACCGGTTGCCTAATGAACCCACTGTAGTGTGATTCAGAAACCCTGGCACTACAGGCACGAGATATTCCCACTCATGTGTATCCAGCTTCATCGCCATCAATCGACCACTGTGGACGTCGTCGTCGGAAAATGCAATAGTTGCATAGAACCAAGCAGGATTTTGCGGAGTGAAACGCGTCTTCTTCGCCCATGGTCCACGAAAGAACCACTCCAGCCGATAGTTTCTTAGTCCGCCCATTGACACTCCATACTGCCTCCAGCTTGTCATGCAACGGGCGCATGATACGTCTGAAGTCAATCAACGTATCGCGCATCCACCCAACAGGGCACAAGAATTGCTGCAGGTCAGCGGCTGTAGTACGGAGCGGAAGAGCTTGCAGCGGACTGATGCGCTCGGCCTCGTGGCGATTGCCAGTGCCACTGAAGATGTGGCCAAACCAACGGATCTCTTTCTGGAATATACAGCTCTTACTCACGCTGAGTTCCAGCCGGTGATTTCGGACAATAGAAAAGAGCTCACGAAGTGTAGCGATAAACGTAGGCGCATCAACCGCATAGACGAGAATATCGTCGATCCACACAAGTAGGTAGGCGTACAGCAGTTCGGCGAAGACCTTTTGCATCTCGTTCTGAAAGTGCGTTGCCGAATCACTCGCTCTCTGTGGAACGCGCGTAGTCGTCCATATAGTATCCGTCGTAACAAAACCCATCAATTCCTGAGTGTTAGGATGTAGAGGGAGCTGCCGGAATCCTTTGGCACGTTGAAACCCGCAAAACCGTAAGCTCCGGCTGCTTCGTCAGCAGAATCCGTCACATCCTCAGCTGCTCCTGCGATCGACACGGTCAATGCATCTCAGGGCGATAGTCGACTGTCATTCGGAAATCACCTGGTGACTTGGGTTTTGCGACAGGCATAGCCGCACACGCCCAGCTCCTTTGTATGCCTTTTCGAATAAAACCCATCAGCTCAAACCGCTTCGTGTATTCCCGAAGGAAAGTGCGTTGTGCGTTGGCATACCGACGTGAGCGCGCTCTAAAAGGCACAGCTCCGTCCACCAACTGAATTCGCAGTGGTTCAATGTCGGCAGAGGGGTCAGCACCCAGGTCAATCCGGAAAATATTCTCATACCCCAGCACGGCATCGCAAAGAAAAGAGAGAAAGTCGGGGTCAAAACCATTATTTCCAGCTGCGACCACACTTTACATATCTTTCAATTTACTGCGATCTTCCAAGCCAGAAAGCTCGAGATCTGCATGTTCATCGTCTTCAAATGGCTCAACATCTTGCACCTCCAGCCAGCTGTTCAAGTTGCTGGCTTACATCAATTCCGAGTGAGGCGAGCGTGTTGTTACCAAGAAATAAATCGGTCTCTTCACCCTCCATAACCAAACAGGTCACGTCGGGGAGCTTCACAGTACCTGCTGCCGTTTGCAGCACGACATCCACCTTAACAGAGTCAAAACAGATAACTGTAGAACCTCCAGCAACATTAGCCTCAATTGGAGAGGGTATAAACATGCATCTCCACACCGCTACAAAGTGAAACTAGCTCGTCGACCACTGCACGAGGGATACCAGTTGAGTCGGATCCTGAGTCAGCACAGTAGGACAAGACCACGATCTCATTGATCATCACCTCCCCAGGTTGAGGCAAGGGCCAAACCACCTTGACTCGTGACCGATCCTTTATCTCCTTCATCTTGTTGACAGCACGTTTCTTGTCTTCATCCGTGGCTGTCGAACAGTCACGAGCCAATGAGAGCCTTGACAGACCAGCCCCAGCACCCAGGCTTGGGTGGCTCTGACTCTTTTCCCTGAGGCTGAGACCCGGTATTATTCGTTGGTGAACTCCGCTGAGTTACATTATTACGGTCTCCCACAGCAGTATGCTGTTCTCTACTACCGGTTTTAGTCTACGCTCCATGCTGACTAGACCTTCGGTTAGGTGGAGATTTGGAGTTTTGCTCCGTCGACAGCAAGGGATACTTGTGCTGAGCCCGTGCCTTCCCCTTATTGATATTGAAGAGAATGAAATCGTTTCTCTTCGCCTCTCTGCACTCATACTTACAGTGTCGCTTGACATCATCACGGACCAAACGAGGCTCGAAAATATCGATCAAGATGGTGCATCGTAGCTTCATGCGATACGCAAACCCTTCTGCATCGGGGTCTCCGACACCGAGTATTTGTTCTAAACCATTATTTTCAATAATGGAGGAGAAATCACGGTAGTACCGTAGCACACGAGCATCAATATCATCTTCTGTCAAGTTGACCTTCAGCGTTTTGCTAAGCAACTCATCCAAGTCGAGGATCTGCTCGTTCTTTACGGTGCCAATACGCTGCATAATCAGCATGAGAAGCTCCTCATTGCTGCCATTATTCACAGTCTTCCGTAGACCATTTAGGCATACCATCCCCAGCAACTTCCGGTCGATTGAGGACTTTATTGGTTTCATCACGGTCTCGGGTCGCTCACGGCTCTTGAAACACCGTTGTCGAATAGTTTTTTCAGACTGGTCACGGTTTTATTTGACCAATGCATCATGACCCCAGTCATTCAACCACGGCGCCTTGATGATCTCGAGCACCGGTTGGTTAACAGACTTCATTACTGCGTCACCATCCGCTTCGTACTGATGTGCCTTGGTTGCCATGCTTGCGGTCCCTTAGGATTAAAGGATATTTTGTGGTAGTTTCCGCTTTGCGTTGCTGAAATGCTGATGTTTGTTGATTGCAAGTTACGAAGTGATCTTCCTTCCAACTAGCACCTGCCCCTGCGTTCTACTCGACTGCTCCTACTCCTATCGGGGCCACTGGTTTCATCCTGGGCATAGCCTTGAGAGTCGAGCAGTAAAGTTCCAGCTTAACGTTGATAGACGATGCTGTAGTTCGGGATGGGGTACTTGATTCAGGATAGCCTCCTTGCGTTGAGAAAAGCCTCCTTGCTGTGCCACATACTACATCTGTGCATGATGCGGTACTAATTACGAAGGTATATTATACATTTGTTTCGCCCGAAGCAACATTTGTCGCTTGCTGAATCAGGCGAGCGGTTTCTTCGAAATTTATGCATTAAACCATCGGTTGTACAGGGTGTCTCTATTTACAGAGCAATAAATAGTACATGCTGCATGCATTTAGTTTGCTCTTAGTATGCCTAAGGATGCGCGCTTCTACTCGAACCAAGAAATGATGTGTCTGATCTTTATGTAGACCATACACAAACGCCAGAGGAGGCTATAATATTGTGGGAAAGCTTGCAAAATTAAATGTAGAGTGAACAGGCTCCAGCCTCAATCCTCGAACGAAAGCGATCAAGTTTTCACGGCGATATTATCAAAATAATTTGCGACACAATGAAAGCCGTGCCTGCATCTCAGTAGCAAGCAATGCTACTCAATATGACGAGCCATCACTTCGTCGGAGACCTGCAGCATACGTCATTGTATTTTATAAGCTGGCAATCCAGTGGATATCAACGATACAGGATTAGCTACAGGCGTTGCTTGCAAAAACATAATAGCCTACTGTCCTACCCCGCACAGAGTGCCCAGGCATACTAATAAAAATATAGCGCCCAGTGAGCGCTTGATTCGTTTTGAGTGCCTAGGCGCTATTCTACGAACAAACTTCTTAACTTTGAAGAACGCACAGGCTAGGTGGAGATTATACAGCAACAAATATATATGCATGCACGTCACTTTATTATGTGCTGACGGCTCAACTGGTCGAAGCATGGATTGGCATACCGTTGGTCCATGGATCGATTCTGGTTGTGTCAATTGAGGGTCATCAGGGAAGAGGGTTGTCGCGAGTTGAAACTCGTTAATGCCCCGCACACAAAAGGTATGTCAAAGCTTGTCAATTCCAATTAAACAATTGAATCTAACATTATTTTTTCCCCTAAAACAAATATTTTTCTGATCTACACAAGGTATTCATCAGCCGCCACCTCGTACCAGAAAGACGTATTTCGTGGCGTTTTCGGCGGTGTACGTGAAACTTGACATCAGACGGCTCTGGTTATCGACACTTTGAAGTCTGATCGTTTTCTCACGTTGAAGACAACATAGCGAGGTGAGTTAGTATTGATTTCTACTAGCTGGTACCTAAGTTTACTCCAGATTTGTATCGGTTTTGGGTGATAGTACAAAACGATGGTGCACCGGCTTTCTGATTTGTAGCTGTAGACTCTGTCCTCTCACTACCGCTCCATCAGCCTCCGTGACCCGTACATTTTACTGGATACTTTTAGTTGTGAAATTAATTATCATATCAAACCCGACAGCCGACCCCTACAGACAACGCTGGAGAAATCCACCACACTATAAATACATGCCCACCAAAAGTTGAAGTTTGGTATTCAAGTCAAATATGTTATCCAGTAGCATTGCTGAATTTACTGAATGCCGTCTAGGGATTGTTTGGTAATGCTTTTTTAAGCTTTTTTCTATGACATCCGTCTTCAAACCATCCCAGGCCTTGATCGTTTTCGTAATGGTAGAGCGTCTCTTTTCCTCTGCAGTTGTTTGGTGTTGCCCTTCACGCTTGGCGGCGGCCTTCTTATGCTCCACCTGCGTTGTCACGTCAATGGCAACGTGTTATGGCATCTCGTCGATTGCGTCGATAATACACACGCACTCCTCGTTGTATAGACATTTACCGCCGCATAAGCACTTATCCCAGCACTGACCCCAACAGATGCAATCGCCGCGCTTTATTGGGCCGTTTACGGTGAACAAGGCCATTGGTGACGCTTACACTCTGGACATTCCTTCGACACTACGGCTACATCCGACGTTCTACGTCGGACATTTAAAGAAGTACCATCCGTCCGAGATCCCGGACACGGATTCGTCCTCGAGTGACGCGGCAACTTTCCAGCGAGAAGGTTCTACTCCTTTGATCGATTCTTCGGGCGCTCAGCGTTGGATCGCTGAGCGAATCGTCGACCATGATCTTCGCCAGTGTCATGACACCCGTGACGGTCACTGAAGTGTTTCCACAGGGTTGCGCCCTGTGGGACAAGGAACAACACTATCGCGTGCGTTGGCTGGGACTCTCCCCAGGTGAAGATACTTGGGAGCCGAGCAGTCGCTTGCTGGAAGACGTTCCCGACATCGTGAACGAAAATGAGGAGACACTCACGTTCCGAAGCGTGAGTGAGCCGGGTGTTGATACCCGCGGTGAAGAAGGCGACCAGCCTCCGCGAGTACACGGAGGCGCTCGCCGTGATGATTAAGAAGAAAAATGGAGTCGAAATGCCCCATGGACCCGGCGTTAAAGGGCTGGCAGACAGCAGTACTGCTAAACGGGTAGCTACGAGTATGCATCTGTGCTGACGCGTTACATGGCTACGCTGGACGATCTGGCAGGACTACTGGATGAAGATTATCTTGCCTCGGTAAGAGACGGACATGCAGATCCAGGCGAGCTGGAAATCTATGCTGCGTCCAAGATGCACGGCTGGAACGTACGACAGTTGAGAATGAATGTCATTGAAAACGTTGAATTAAGGTTACTTTATGCTTGTTACCTGGCTAAAAAAATCTACGTGTAGTACGCAGGGAACCTGATATTACCCATTTAGCAACAGGAAAATCTTAACGCGAAAGAGTAGTGCAAATGGCATCTATGCAGAAACTATATGGATAATATCTTTCTTTAGGCAATCATAGCTCCAGCATGTACCGGAGCCGTAGGTGTAACGGGGTTCCCGCAAAGTGGCTACTCATAGCCACTTGGTTACGAAAGAAGTTTTCCACGTTGGTGTGAGATCCACCAATGGTTACATTTGGCAGACTGCTGGTCTGCATGTATTCAAGGCATTCATTGGTTATAAGTCCAGCCCAAGAGGATTCTGTCAACCATTCGTTGATAAATGCCTTTCATTTAAAATATTAAATTAGGAGGAATACCCAAACAAACAAATAAACAGCTCTCAATTTCACCAGAAACTGGCTTTGCTTTCCTATTCAAGCGAATCTATCTTTCGGACGAAGGTATAGTTAATCGAAGTGAAAAGAAACTTACGCTTCCTCATACACGTGCGCTTACGTGTACACCGAGGTAGTGGGCTTAAAGTAGACCCATTACAGTAGGTAGTCGACGTATGAGGGCGCATCGTATTGCTGAGCCAAACTGCTTTCGATGAAAGCTATCCCTAAGATGCCACAGCTGGTAGGGTAGAGTCGTTGGTAATCGCGGTTGCATCTCGTCTTTAAATCTTCTCTTAACCTAAGAATGGTGAGAACCCACTCTTGAACAGCTTGTACAGTGGCTTTGTCGTTTCTTAAATTCATGACCGTGTAGGTTCACTTTGACTTGCAAAATACATACACATACCAGTGTTTTCTATTCATCCAAACGGCTCCGACGATCTTATCGTTGGATTTTTCGACAGTTTTTTTTGCCCTCTGAGCCAATTCATTGTCTGATCATCGTTTGTCATGGTCATCAAAGGTGTCGTAAAAGTGTCCTTTCTCGGCCTTGTTTGCAGCAGCGTCACATATCCGTTCGATATATGTCTCGAGAACCATGTCGACCATCTCTCTTTTCAGGGCGAAATCAAGCAAAGCTAGTTCTTGCTCCTCTTTTACGTTAGCGAATTGGACGCACGTGCACACGCCTTCTAAACTAAGATCTTGCATATCTCTGAAAAGTGAACTTAAACTCACGCAAACTATTCCATTGACTATTATTAAAAAATCAACCAAGGCCAATGGACTGAACCCACACAACGATCTTTTCAAATTATGCAAGCCCTTGCTTAATTTTTTGTGCCATTTTACAAGATTCTCAAATAAATCAGCAGTAATATTGTGATCCAAAACGTCTTTATCTTGTTCAAAAATCTCACCATAACAGTACTCTCCGGAGGCTTAACACCTTCACGACTCTAGTAGATTTGACGACACTGGTTCGCCAGAGATAAGGCCTTGTCAAACCATTCTTTTGGTAGCAATGGGCCGTAATTGTATCTTCGTAACGGCAAACTCAGCTAGGAAAATGTCAGTTATTTGCTACGAAAAGCATCGAAATAAAAAAGAACAAAGCACCCTATCGACAGAGCATCGCGGCGATCTCGTTTGTAAGCGCCGCCGCTTTTAAGGATTCCTGCATGGCTACGCAGCGGCCAAAGTCGCGCAGGTAAGACTCGTCCAATAACAGCTATAAATATGGGAGCTCGACGCCTAGTCTGGCGTAGCTTTCTTTTGTTTTGTTGTTTCTTACACCAAGCGTCATCGACGATCGCTTATAGAAGGTCTAGCAGCATTGCCACAAAACAGTGTGTGGTTAGCCAGGATTTGTAAACCAATGTATCGTCATCATATACATGTCCGATGATTCGAACCGCTCCCACATGTCGAGGGTCGTGTCCTTAAGAGTGACTTGAGTGGTGCGGGATCGCGATACATCCAATTCAGTGTCGGGTTGAGCGTCCACGTGAGTTTGGCTTTCGTTCTTGCTCTCCTCCTCGCTGAGATAATCAGCAGAGGCGTCTGACACCGATGTCCGGCGCTTCTGCCCTCTCATGAACGGAGACAGGCAGCGGAAGGAAGGGGGGGGGTCTGCGGCGCTTTCGTACGACACGAGGTGAGTTTGCGACGACGTATGGTGGCCGTCTGAGAGAAGGGATTTGGAATGAACGGTAGCCAAAGCTGCGTAAAATAACGTTCTTTGTACGGCACCAAAGCGTTTAATCTAGAATACGAAAACGACTTTGAAAACGACAAAAATGTGTCTCAAATTCTAATAGGAAATGTCCTATTGGCTATAAGCGCATCACAGACGAAACGAAGAGCAAATCCCCCGGAGGTCAGCTCGAGTTTTGCCTCCCTCTCCAGCGCCGACGATGGTGAACGATGCCGAGAGCGACAGGTCTGTCGGCGTCTAACTCAGAGACGAAGCCTCGGCGTCAATTCGTTTATTGGCGCAGCAAGCATTTTAATGTTGATTAAACGGCTATTAGCACTACGAGAGAGCACAAGCCATAGCTGGTAAATGATCTAAAAATGTAAAAAGAAGAAGCGTCAAATAAACATACTAACCCAAGGAAGCAAGATTCCTCTGGGAAGAAAGCTAAGCAGGTGCCAGTGACAGAGACATAGCCGGTGCTCGAAGGATGGGTTTAGCCTGTAGAAGTCTATAAACTTCCTGTAATACTGAGACACTGAATATTTGACTTGAGTCAGGAATTTTGCTCCCTAGCCCGTGGTTTTCTGGCTCGATCAGTAGAATGAAGATACATAGCGAAACCAAGTATAATATGGCTACTGAGCTGACAAGTCCGTCGAACGTTGCGTTTAGAATACAAACCTCATACACACAATACATCTACAGCATTTAATTACCGTCAATTAGAAAATATCGACAAAAGTGTGCCATCATGAAGGAGCATATTTTGACCTGGCAATCATAGCACCTGTTTTTGCAAGTAGGTAAAGAGAATTAACCCCTTGAAACCGAAGGCTTTTCGTCCCCCCATCGACCGAATTAACGCGTATGTCTGGGGTAAGGGGAAGCATACTGAAAGGAGGTTTTTGCGGTATCATATATAATTGTGTATTTTGAAAAGACACAATATATATACCTACCCTCCAAGAACTGACTCGCATACAAACGTGTACATTCACGATATTGATCATGAAAAATCTATTTTATCATGCTTCTTGTATGGAATACGTAATAGACAGTACGATGCAGTGGCTAGCACACGCCAAAGCCAGAAGCGTCGCCTAAATAGTTTGATGGCTAGAGCTGTATAAAACGCCAGTAGAAAGTACAAATAATAGTATACAGAAATTAAGAGAAGTAAAAGGACGCAACATTTTTTTATTCTTACGTCTCGGACGCTCGCGCAGGTTTAGAAATTCTAAACCTAAATTAGAATGCGGTGAGATATCGTCCGTTGGTGCGTCGCTGGGCACCTCGGCTCACTCTTCACACACTCCCGCGTTCAGTGACTCCTTCGCCGGCACACGCGCGCGGATGTTCCTCTTTCGAGCCATCTTCGGCAGAAGGGTTCCATTACGCCAGGCTTTATGCCAAATCTCGAAGCAAGACATGAGAGCACCATTGTGTCGGTGCCGAACCTTATTGCACAGGAGCACGCGCCACGCCTTTGGTTTCTTGAACATCGTCGTCAGTTTGCAATTGCTGCAATAGAAAGAAGAGTCCCCACCGCGCGCACCATCGGTGCCTTTCAAAAGATATCACACCTATCACGCTCGGGTGCGCCTCTTCCGCCCACTCTGATTATTAACAGGTCCCCACTTGTCGTTTAAAACAGCCGTATGGCCGTTATACTGAGGCGCAGCACGAATTTTTGGACGGCGTTGCTGTCGCTTCATCGTGGTCGCGAAGACCAATCCACTCGCTGTATCTTCCTTTGTTTCTTCGTCCAGCTGGGTAGCTTGGGAGAGCAGCTTTCAGCAGTATTCAAAATTGAGGTTCCACAAAGGTTTGGTTCAGGTGCGTTGTATCTGTGAGCTCCCTACACTACGACCAGAAATACAAGTTAGCATACCATTCTTATGCTGTATGTAGAGGAACTTACAGCTGTTGACACTGTCGTTGTCGGAGCTGATGCCTTCGTCAATACAGGACGTATCATGAGGAGAGACACATAGAAGAACACTCGACTGAGGGTCCGGTAGCTCATAAGAATCATTCGCAGCTACTGGCGTTTCTGCGATGTCGCCAGAAGAAACTTCTGTACCACATACAGCACATACAAGTTTACATAATGCACAAACGTGTATGTACATCTTGTTGGTCAAACCTCCGTCTAAATGTGCCACGTCCTCTTGAAGACATGAGCTCGGCATCGGTTGATGTGTCCTGCTGCTGATTACCACTGCCCAATTTGTATTGTCAGATTGAATTAATCATTTGAACAAAAATGCAGCACACTACCTTGGTTTTCGGGTCGTGAGGCTGCGTTTGTAGACCCGCCCGCCTACCAGTTTTCTTTGCCTGAAACGCCGTTACATACCCACATGCGCTACGAATGTCTAGCAGGATTATAGTTAGTTTCACAAGTCCATCTGAGGTCAGCTTTGTCGGCAAACCGCATTAGTTCCTCCTCTCCGATAAAAAAGCCCTCTCCGCGCTTGTCTTTCTTGGTCTTCTAATGTTTTAGATACACGAAGTCGACTGACAATCCGGTAGGCTTCTTGCTGTGCCATCCTGCCTTCTTCAGCTCTCTCCATCTCGCTTGGAAAGCCATTACATGCCGCAGCACCGAGACCTGTGCCCTTTGCAGCGAATCGCAAACTGACAGCAAAAGTCAGTGGTGCTCAGTAACGTCATTGTGATATTGCATACATGTATGTGTTGTGTAATTTTGATTTGTTACGCGCTTTTCTCGTGTAATCATGGCCTTTTTAATCGTATTTTTTTGGTCGAGCGGAGTTCCAGAATACATTACCTACCCCTCGTGGACTTTGGAAAATGAAAGAAACGCATACAAAAACTAAGTTTAGCGGACCGCACACGCTAAGGCTTAGTAAAACGCTTAGCCTAAGCGTTTTACGGTAACGTGTACGGTCCAGGCTCTCGGGTTTGAGGGTTTAAATGTGAGCATGGACGAGAGGAAGCGCCCTGCGCTTACCGGTAGTGTAGTTCTTCATATAACTACACGCTTCAAAACCACTGGATGGTTCCTGCACGCATCAATCTCTTTTACAATTAATGCGCGGAATCGGTGCGGTGGTGAGCTGTAAAAGCTCACTACCACCATGTTGCTGTACTGTCACGGACAGTCTGTCAGATGCATTGGCGAGCTGCTCGTTGCTGTCGTCGCAAGGAGATCAATTGCGCTATGGATTTTATCATTCGCCAGGATCGTTGAAAGGCTCGCGTTGCACTGCATGGTCTCTACCAGCACAGCTACCCAATGGCGCCGGTGGGGTCAGCAACGACAGTAGCATGGACCCTGTGCTTGAGGCCACTTTGGGGCAGTCAATTTATGGTAAAACGAGTGGTAAACTTAACGAAATATCATCAGAATGGTGGACTATTGCTATAATAAGGTGTCCTCCTTTGGACCACCAAAGGATTGTTCCGAGCACAAGCGGGTAGGGTGTCGGAATATCCGAGTCGGATATCGGTCCATGCCGACACTTCACTGGGAACATCTGAACCTCATAGCCTGTCCCAGCTCATTTCGCATATACTTCACCACCGAGAAACGCATTGCAATCGTCGGAACTAACCTCGTGGAGTGGGTGGAAAGAGGAATTCGGGGATGCCATCTGCCATCCGCCAAGCACTGGAACGAAGCAGTAACATGTCCACAACCCATTCCTTCCTCAGTTTCCAGCGTCGAGACCGAGCACATTAGCTGTGCAATCCACCATTCATCCATTTGCGCGGAAGGACGCAGCAGTCTAACAATGAAGAAGGAAGAAACGCTTGACCACACCGAGGCTCTATCGTATGAAGAGACGGCCGCCCTGTTGAGTATGAGCGACTCATACATCCAAGAAGCCGTACACATGTCGAGACACTATGCCGGCTGTTCACGCCATCCGTTCGCGATCGACTCTACCCGATGGAAACGAATAGCACATGTCCGCGACCTCGCAATGTACAAGGAGCGTCGAGCTCGCTGGAGACACAACAACAAACGCAAACTCGGCTCACGGTTGGCAGATTACGACTATGTAGACGACGGTACCAAATTGCTACCAGCTACGCTAATGATCGGCACGTTCCCCGGTGACTTGGAATCCGTCATGTTCGGGCTGCAGAGCTCAACCGAAGACGCCACGCGACTACGAGCGTCGTACCTAGGGGACAATCTCGTGGACGAGAAATTGTTAGCTGCACCTCTTGAGTCTCCAAGCTACGACAACCCGCTGCGGTCGTGTACTTTAAGGTGGCGAGGCTTGCGTAGCGGCGCCACAGCTGCCAAAGTGACATCACGACAGTTCTTCAGCTCGCGTGCTATTGAGACGGTGTACATTGAGTCCACAGGGATCACGGAGCTCGGGAATGGAGAACGAGTTGGCTACGAGTTACTACAATCGGTGGAGGTCCCGGGATTCGGTGGCTTTAGCAAGAACGGCAGACGGCAAGCTGTTATCTCGTACTGCTACGTGTATCGCCAGCCATCCCCAGACGTTATGGAGGTGTTCATGTTAGGCTCTACTTCTTGTGACGGTGTGTTTCTTGGCGGCGCTTTAGCCAAGATGCACAGTCTGCATCGACTTGTCCACTGTGCTGAACGCAAGAAACTCGCGTGGCTTCTGAATTCCAGTCAACCGACACTAGCCAATCCAAAAGCTGGAGGCTGTTGCGCCGAGTGTTTTCGCTCCTTTGGGCGGTGGCCACATCGTGCCGAACGACTGTGTAGCGCCTGTGACGAACGGGTCTGTGCGAGCTGCACGGCATATCGCCAAATGCACTTCGCACTGCCATTCCGTCGCAAAGTCACCCGCTCCAAACTTGCCTTCTGTGGTCGCTGTCTCCAACGAGCCGAAGAAACAAGTCCGATGACGGTAGCAGCTTTCGAAGCCATGGAACAAGGGGAGGACTTTGACTTCGACACTGCCGACAGCTCCTTGCCACCATATTCCAACTCAAAGTGGAGCAGCCAATGCCTCGACGAAGACGACCTGGCGATGACCATCCTGGGCGACTAAAAAACTTGACATTTGACTATCATCGGAAGGTGTTCAATGTCTGAAGCAAACGATAATAATCTCACAACAAAATATTTAATAAAACGACTGGCGTATTGAGTTCCCTGTCGTAGTGTTTTTTGTGGCTTGATAACTTTAATTCATTGAATTCCTGACGTGCCAACTATTGGAAGTCGGTGCGCTTTGTGGAAATGCACACTGGCGTCGTCCATAGCTGCACAGACCATGATAACCAGCGCCATATCGACGCCAATTGCTGTCTCCACGTGGTAAGAATTGCCTCCGAAGTTTGTCATCCTGTTGCTAGCTGGGCGATAGACCTTGGCGATAGGTGCCCGTCGACCTCCGCGTCCTCGCTCCAGATACAACACGGCAGCTCGTTGTCGCCACATTCCGTGACATCCGATCCGACTTTTGCCTCCTGTGTGTGGGTCATCCACTTCAGCAAGCAACGGCTCTCCTCTTCCGGGTACAAACTTGACTTTAAACGTCGTCAGCACCTTCGGCTGAGGCGACCGCCGCTTGCCCAAGCAAACGTCGTAGGTCGCTGCTGTGGGGTGGTCTCTGTGCGTCAAATGGGCCACCGGGATACCGTACTCGTCCAGCAGCCACTTCGTGCGGCCATCTGAAAGTTCGCCCTCAATTGTAGGCATCACACGGAACAGAACGCGACCGGACTCGGCTTCGCGCACTGCGTAGCCGTTGATGTCGATGGTGTGCGTCCAGAAATTGTCTGTGAGCTCGAGTGTTGTGACGCGACGGCGGCAAAAGCGCGGGTTCACCACGAACGGGAACTTCCATTGCGCCGCTAGCGGCGTGGCCAGGAACTTCTGCATGGATAAGGCTGCCCCCATTGCCGCGGTTGCAGCTCTTTACCTGTATCGGTATGCAGTGAGTGTCGACGTCAGGTAAAAGAGCACGACATAACCTGCATGATTTAATGTATCGGGAAAGTCGATCTCATGTGGGTTAGAATTTAGGTAAAAGCGAAGGACTTTGAAAACCGTTACACATTATAGTACACAAAAACTAATGCTTTCTGGCACCGCGAATTGGTACTGTCTACTCACGGGCCAGACTGCTGAAAAAGCGGCACCACTCTTGGCACATGAAGACAGTAACACAGAGACTACTACGAACTCTCGTCGTTCGGCTGTAGCGACTGTAGAGCAGCTACATAGAGTAAGGCTGCGACTAGTAATGGCAACGAAAGTGAGACGATACGAGCGAGAGACATAAAGAGCTTTTCCCAAAACCAGTACCATATGTGAGCTCAAATCCCGGAATCAGTACCTTTCCCAAAACCAGTACCAGTACCAAAACAAAATAAATGTGGACCACTTTATTTTTGTTTTGTGCCGGCGTGCCATTGCAGTGAACGTACGTTGAGAGCACTATTTGTACTAGTTCCACTGGAACATCTAGCCAACGGGCCTGAACATCGTGTGGGTGGACACTGATCTGCCTATAATCGCACTGCACAAGTAAACCATGACGGTAATACGTCGTCCCTCTACAGTGTGCTGACGGATGTGGTGGGAAGGTCGTCCTGTACCAGATTGATGTCGCTCCATACAGCGCCTGCACTCGCAGCTACTTCGCTGAGAATATAGATATGTGGGTCCAGCTATTTGACTCAAACGACGCGTTTTTTTAACTATGTCAAGAGTGACAACTACGGAGACAATTTTTCGAGAGCCTGAAGGTAGTCTTATCTTGCTATGCCATTTCCACTGTGGACTGAAACTTCGAAAATAAAGACTTTACTAATCTCACTTTGGTGAACGTGTCGTTAGCAATTTACAGATTCCTGTCAAAATAGAGCTGACAATAGTAGTTTTGTTTAATTTTAGCGATTTATAGTCAAATGGTTTGACAAATTTAATTTAGTGACGTCTACGGGATATAAACATTGTTTGCTTTTATTACTTCGGAGTACTAATTACCGGTAATTAAGAAATTTACTGACATGCGGCTTGAATTTCCTGTGGCTTGAGATGTAGAAGGTTCTTCTGCAGGTAATGCTGCCGCAGTGCTCACTTGACGACCGGAAATGATATCACGTAAATTCGGGAGGGGAACCGCATGCGGTATCAATTGTGAGCTAGCTAAATCCGAATCATTACTGTGCCTTCTGCACGTCCGTTGGTTATGGCCAGTTGCACTACACATTTTACACTTGTAGATTTTCCCTATACTGTCCTCACCACGACTCGCAATACGTCGGGTAACACGACGCCCGGCTTGCTTGTAAAATGTTGAAGGAAGTACAATGGTGCTGATGTGGCGAACAGGTAATTCAATCCCTTTCCCGGAAAAGGCATCCGCATTTGTCGCAACCGACATAAACCACCAAAGCCAAATACAAAATCAAGAATTGTTGGAAGAAATATTGTATAAAGCAAGACAAAAAATATTTTTGTTCTCCCAAATGAATTAAGTATATAAAGCCAGCTACGGGAGCGAAAGTCACATTCTGGGCACAAAAGCGTGAGCCCATTGTTTCTTAAGTAGTCGTTACTGCAAACTTTATTAAATAAATGGCCGCAAGGGCTAATATAGAGACATTTTGCCGACATATATGGCAGATACTGCGATTTCGGTAGACATATCCTCGGCAAATTGGACACGTTGCGTACGTTCTGTCCCGAGATTCCGCAATCTACTGATCCCACCACTCGCCACAAACCCGGTGTTCACAATTCATTCCATTTGTAGGACGAGCGTCAGGATTGCTAAGGTTTGTGTAGCAGACAGGACATTTACCACTTATATCGGTTTTTTCAGTAGCTTCGAGAGTCCCAACCTTCTTAGCTTCTCCATCGTTAGTACTTAAATTTTCATTATTAAGCCAAGTTTTGCTTGATAACGCGCGTTTCGCGCTTTTCGTTTCTCTTTTTGTTTTCTTTTCCTTGTTTCCGGGTCACAATTGTTCTTCCGCACATGTTTTTGGAGGTTTGATCGACTGGAGTATGCGTGTCCGCACACATGACAGCGAAAGTCAGGAGACGCGGAAGCCCCAGCTACAACCATTGTACGTACGAAGCTCCAGAATAGTCTAAAAGAAACATTTTACTTGTATTTATAGAATCCTTAATAGCCTTAGGCTATCTCCACTCGAGTTGCTATCGGAGTTGCTATTGCTAAAATATTTTTGTTAAAAGACGGCAATATTTCCTCTTATCTGGAAAAGGTTAAACTTTCCCTCAGGCGACATGGGAAATACAAAACTGCAAAATATATGGGGCCGCAAATGAAGCGGTGGAAATAAATTAGGGAAGAACGGCCAGCGTTAAAACGCAACATTAATGCAAACGGCTCCGAAGCCAACACGCGCATGCATGCCGCAGCATGTGTATGATAC